GATGTCATCGTTATAACACTAGCGACGCTGAACTCGTCGTTATAACAATTTCAACCAAGTTATCGGCAATAACTGTATTCAAGACCTGATATGACTCACAGTAGTCTCCGTTTTCTGACGGTATCTTTGCATCGGCCTATAAGTCTCAAACAAGTCCTGCCTGAATAATTCTTTTGGCGTAAAACGATCACAGAAGGCGTCCAAAATTAGACCCAAATATTACTGCATTTTGAGCAGTCTTATAGGGAGTACAAAGTAATTTTTCAGTCTACCCCAATCGATAGATACCGTAATTAAGATTTTAAAAATGAACGCGAGCAACTACATGTACATGTGACTGAAAGTCTTAGGACGTCAAGCGAACTCTGCTCACAATAACATTTTTATTCTGCGTTTTGGCTGCTTTTTTCTCAAAGGGTACAGCATGACTCCTCTTTTGTTATCTTAGCGTGAATATGGCAGACTCTACCTCCACGTACCCATGAAAAAATAACCACGCGTGTTCAAACTTGATTGGCCCCAGGAAGTTTTTCGTTCACAATTTAGAACTAATCTGAGTGTTTTCTGACCAGAATTTTACCGGAGAAGATGAAAACGTTCCTCCTTTCCGTAATAACGTGTCTGTTGTTAGCAACTCTAGGCTCATGTAGGTCTATTAATATTTACTATTTTATCAATATTACACGACACGTTTCTTCTACGAAATTGTTTAAAGTCTTTGCCAGAATGAATTCATTTTCTTTCCACTGAGAAAATAAATGCATTATTTACATCAGGTATTTCTACGTTGAGCGGATTCCCGACGGATTGCGGGATACCAGAAGTAACGCGACTTTCAAAAGAAGAGGCCATGTACTCAAAAACGCAGGCAACCCCTCACAGTTGGCCTTGGCATGTAAATCTATTATGATTAATGATTTTTTATGGTATATATTTATTCACGTCATTAAAAGTTATACCTAATTGTGAGTTCCTAAGGCCGCTTAGTATAAATTAGCTGACGATTTCATTGCCGATTTTTACGATGATACAAACACGAAATGTCTTTTCCTGTATTAAGTTAGCAGAAAGAAATATGTGAACTTGTTGTCAGGTTACGCCTATATAATGAATCCTTAACTTCGATACTGGACCACACATTCAATACAACATTAAGATTTTGCATCATTATGACATGAATGGATTTGCTTCCCTACTTTTCTTCGTTCCAAAAGAACAAAGTATTATTAAAATGGACGAGTATTTCCATGCATTTTAAGTTCTGCGAATGTGCCAGCAGTTTTGATTACTATCTTGTGAAAAGACAAGAAAACAATATTTTAATGAAACTAGAGACAAGAGAAACATCTTTAAGCGTGTTATTATAAGCAAAGTCTAAACGTATTAGAGTGCACACCAAAGTTAATTGGAAATTAAATCATCTGAAGTAGTACTTTTTGGCCACTTCGAATTACACCAACTGCCAAACCAAGCATTTATAAAAAAATCCCCATATGTGTTTCGAGCGAACAGTAGCCACAGTATAATATGCTTCTGACAAAGTAATCGGAAATACTGTAAACGCGTAGCGAATTGTTGTTATTGTACAACTATTTTGTAATATCCAGAAAACTTGTCAATGGCTTTCAAAATAAGAATTGTTGAGAGACCTGCGCAGAAATAAGCGTGGAGGTCCTTGGCGTTTAATTTAAGGCCAAAAGATAATTTATCATGAAAAATAAATATGACCATATTTTCAAGAAAGGTATAAGCTTATGAATGAGGAAAACCGAAATAGACGAAGGATGAGAATGAGACTAGAAAAAGTTAACAAGAATTTTATCTCCATTTGAGCCAAAAATCAGAAAATTGCATGCACGGTACGTGAGCATTTATTATTCACGGGATAGAGGTAACACATAATTGCAGGCAAATTAAATCCATCAAATGCGGCACAAAAATGACATTTCTGCAATTACTATGATAACGACTCGGCCATCCGTTCAATACTTATTATTCCTCCTGGTGCCAACCTTAGATCCACCACAGAGGGGATATGTAACGATTAGATAGTCTCCCTGATACCCTCGTTTTTCGTAAAGATTGTATAACCTCAAAAGCACTTTACCATGTAAGTAGGTATTTTATGACTGGGGTCACGTAAACCACAACTACGGTTGCTTGGTTCCGCTTTGATGGTGAATCAAATATATTGAGCTGAATAGATGAGGTTTTAGACGGACTCGATCAGCGGATGATTGTTAAAAGAGATAAGGGAATAATTCGTCTAATTATAGTCAAAAAAATCTTGGCATTCGTCAATCACTTGCTCACGTTAAACCTATTTGTCGCTGAATAAGGGCCGAAGAGAAAAGCCAGGCACCCCTTGACGAGTTCGTAACAAATACTGCCATGGCCAAAAAACAGCTGTAGTCATTTACCACCCCTGATCGGGCTGGAAATGGTCCTTTGGAGGATGAGAAAGTTTATTCTTGGCATACATGACCAAACTTGCATTAACAGCTATGAAAAGAAATGAAGTCAACTCTTGAGTCGCAAA